ACCACCTCTTACTTTGATGACTTAGGTAAGCTTTTCTAAAGGCCTAAACAACTGAAATATCGTACACAATATGTTCCCTGGAAGCAACGAATTACACACACCCTTCCAGCAACAAGTTTAGGCAATTAAAAACCGTACTATACTCAGTCGAACCATTTATTTAACTTTTGATATATGCATGCCTCCGTAGTTCCGTAATTATCTTAGACTATGGAAACCAAAGGACATGTTATATTGATATATGATGCATTTAGACGTTGAAAACATAAACATTTTATTGACAAACATTTGATTTATGTCATATGAACGTCATCTTAAATGCCAACTGTCCTCATTTTACCATTTTTGGAGTACCATCCGTATCCGGTTGTCAAAGGGAAGTACATGAAATGTCAAAACCAATGTTTAGCCAAATGTTTTATTGAATTATTCACATGAATTGTAATAAATTTGGATAAAAATATTAACAGTGAGAACGATTAAGTATTGATTATAATGCATCGCTGCAGCATTAAGGGGTGCGACAGTAAAAAAGGCGGAAATCAACCGCATGTTACATTACATATGTGTGTGCTATTTTTTTGTCTATAAATCATACAATAACCCAAATATCTCATGTAATTAGACTCATTTAAGTAGTTTATTCATAAGTCTTGCCGAATTTTGTTTTTGTAGGGTAAGTACATTAATTTTGATAAATAGAATTATATTATCCTTAATTACATAAGTGCCTATTTCTACTTACTGTTTATATTTATATACATGCCATTAAAACATTGCTGTTTAATGTGTAAGATACATAATTTATGTAGCTTCATATAATACATAATTATAAATATAATATATATGTAATACTATAAATGTGTAAAGTAAAATATAAAATATGTGTAATAGATATAGTATACAGACGGACAAGCGCTTTGTGTTTTGTTATTAGATATTTGTGCGCGTCCACCGGCCGGCAGTATGATGGACCGGTTGCCGCGAACAATAGCAAGGGCCGGAGCCGAGCGCGGCAGTGGCATGACGTAGAAGAGTCGCTTCTTTGCTTTCGAGTGGAATGCGTGTCGTATGCTCAGTAATCTCGGCTACCCCGCTTATTTTTGCGAGCTATTGCTAACCGATGTAATTTGTGTTCTATATTTCCTATATGTTCCTTCTGCTTTAAACTCTTTTATCTTCCTTCTGTGCTTGTGTAATCTCTGTGTTGTTTCCGTGAACGAATAAACTGTGAATAGTAATTTTTGTGAGTATCATTCCGCGGAACCACTACTAACGATTCTACACTTTGGTTACTTTACATTGCCTGTTTGTTAATTATATTTTGAAGAGTGTTGATAACGATTATTTTGAGATAGTGTTGTTCTTGTTAGCAGACATATCGAAATACTGTTATTAAAACAATTCACTACGAAGTTTTTATTTTTTCATTACTATTATTATTATTTTAAAGTTTACCTAGAAATGAAAAAAGAAAGAAAGAATGGTTGGAAATTATAGGAACATAAACATTGGATCCAATATCACTTTCGTTTGTTCGCTCCATTTTGAAGAGTCAAATTTTAATAGAACATTCAATGTAACTAGATTACATGATAATGCAATTCCATCGTAACATTTATTGGTAAATAACTTTATATTTAATTTTGATTAAAATGGCTCATTACTTGCCTAGTAATAATAGCCTAGTATTAATCATACTTTCATTACAATATACTATACAAATTTGCGAACATAAAAAACAGTTTCAACATTCAAGCCATACATTTGCATGTATGAACGATATTGACTTTTCTATGATTATGGTACAACACTAAATCCACCATTTGTGGTGGACATTTTTGGTTTACGTAGGCACGTTTATTCCGTAGATAGGGCAGCTCCTTTCCTTTATATTTTTCCATTAGTCTAAGGTTTGAAGAGAGTTTTGTTCCTATGAACACGTCACCCTCATAATAACATTGCAACAAAAACGTTATAAAGCTTACATAATTAGTTTAGTCTGTTCCTAAGTCCGGAATCCACTATATTATATAGCATCTTAGCGTCTATAGTACACGCAGTGACAAGTCTCATGTGCCTGTAATATTACCAGCACTCTTACCCTTCAAAACCGAAACACCGGCACATTATTGCTTGGCGGCTGAAGTGGGTAAGGTTAGTACACTTCCCTGGATGAACTCTTTGACAAGCTCTTGTGCTACTTAACTCTCTTATTGTTTTAAGTAAACAGTGCAAAACGCAAATAATAAATACGGAAACTATTTTGCTCCGTCGCACCTACACAACCAATAAACATCGACGAAAATTCCATGAAGGGCCAATTTGGGAAATGAGTTTTTCTAAATTGTTTCCGGCTTGAGCGTGAACAGGGTGAACTCCGTTGCTCTGATATTTATACTACTCTCCTTGTCATAACTAATGCATTTGCATTTCGGTAACTTTGGCACCTTAAGTTTTATTGTGACCTAAAAAAAATTTTAATTACGCTTATTTTGCTCAACAATGAAACAAACTAAATAAGATTTAAAAAACTGATTAGAGGGGGTTGTAGATTTTGTTTTGCTGATCCCAGATATGTTAATAACTAAATTTGGACAAAAAGCATGTTACGTTACTTATGATAGAGGCAGTAAGACCATTACAAACGGCCATTGTAGGTGAGTGCTTGTGTAGCTGCCCACACGTATCATTTACATTGAAACTATATGGATGACGTACAAGTTATTGCAGCTGCTGTTATTTATTATTGGGCGCCTATAATTATTACGTCAGTGCATCCATTATATATTGTATAATGTTAGAGTTGTCACTGGGGAAAAATCGGGAACGACTGGATGGTTTTAAGGAACTGAGAATGCGTAGCAATGTCTCTTGTTTACTCAAAATTAAATATAAAATTACTTACCGATACATACGACGATGGAATTGCATTATCATGTAATTTAGTTACATTTATTTACTATTATATATTAACTGCCTCAGTGGCCGAACGGTTACCATGCCGGACTTCCATTCAGAGGTCCCAGGTTCGATTCCCGGGCCAGAAGAAATATTTGTGTGGCCTACATTTATTTCTCTCGTGAGTTTGGGTGTAATTTGTGGTTGTCTATCTGTGTGTCCATGACACCCGCGATATAGGGTTTCCCTAGTGCGGGGCTATGTTGAGTGTGTGCGTTATTATTATTATTATTATTATTGTTATTCAAAGTTCTATTAAAATTTGACTCTTCAAAATGTAGCGAACAAACGAAGGTGATAATTGATCCAATGTTTATGTTCGGCAATCCTATAATTTCCACCCAATCTTTCTTTCTTTTTTCATTTGTAGGTAAACTTAAAAAAAAAATAATAATAATAAAAATAAAAACCTTGTAGTGAATTACTTTGATAACAGAATCTCGATAATATTATTATGTCTGCTTACAAGAACAACACTATCTCAAAATAGTCGTTATCATCAATCTCCAAAACATACTAACAAACAGGCAATCTAAAGTAACCAAAGCAAAATTTGGCAAGTCTTAATTTATTAATTATTAGTTATTTGTACATCTCAATCACTCAAACTAAGACCTCAATTAAGTGTTGATCACTTTCCTTCTACAAATGGCTCGTACTTTGCATTGTACTTTTTTGCACTACATGTAATACAAGACTATCTAGTTCGATTGCAGTAGCTTCATCTATTAGAAGAGTACATTCCACAGCTAATTTATTTAAGTTCTTTAGTTTAGCATTGTAATGATGTACATTTTTCACTAAATAAATAACTACTACTTAATAATAACTTAAATGATGACCTTTACGGTAATAAAAACATAGTGTTAAAACTTACCCATCGGTAATGCAAAAGTGCACAGTAATCTCTGAAATCCTAGCCGTCGGATATTGAGCTAAGAATGATTGTTCTTCTAACTAATTCTTCTAACCTAGAATTAGGTTTAGGCCATAATTCTTAGGCCGTCCCCTGAGAGGAGACCGATTTTAAATAGTGGGACGTTCATATATACATGTTAGAGTATACCAGGGACTCGCTGCCGGAAACATCCTCCATTATCAATTACGGGTGATTGCAATTAAATCATTTATTAACTTTTCCCATTAAGAATTCGAATGTCCAAAAGACAAATTGAACTAAAACGGATTTTAAATATCACGTTGCGAATTCGTAGAGGTAACGACACTATTGTATACTTTCCAAGTCGTTAAGACTAATAAGACTTTCCAGGCGATGCGCTCCCGTTTAGCATTCTTCCCCCCTTTTCTAATATGGCAACCTTCCAAATGTCATAAGATCATGTTGGGTGACCAAACGCCACCTTCTCTGTGACTTTACCTTAAAGGACTTCACCCAGTTTGAGCTGTCAAAATGATGTGACGTTTGTAAACAAAGCAAATCATCAAAAAGTCTCCACAACCCACAGACACAAACGCTCTTTTAAACATGATAAGACTTGTACAGTGTGATTTTTTAAAATTGGACAGTACGGGGAAATTCGACACCATAGTTGTACGGTGCAATATCGTACATTGTGTTTATGCGGCATTTTACGTATTCATGCGACATTTAGTTATAATTTATATTTAGTTCACAATCAGCCATCGCGCAGTGTACTCATATGTATCAAATGTATCTTTATTAGTTGTAAATCAAAACTAATAAACATTCTTAACAGTTATAATACTATCATTTATAAGTGTATGGAGCACCGTACATCTTAATGGTCCTTCGAGCCTTCGTGACGTCGAAATTCGGCGTGTGAGTTTCATCGAATCAGCACTGCAGCTATCAACCACGTGAGAGCACGACAGTTCTCGCTACAAGCAGGCTCACTACAGCAGCCATTTCAGTGTTAATTTGTATTTCTTTGCGTTGGTAGCGAATCGGTTTAGCCGGCCTCCCACAAGCGGGTCTCACCGGCTAGATTGAGAAGGCGCACATACCACGTGAAGTTTACAATTACGCTGAACTATCAATTTTCCGTAAGCAAATCAATATGGAAAATTTATTAGCAATTCAAAATCAGCTCATAGGAGCAATTGAGCAGCTTTTGATCAATTTCAAAAAAGATGGCGCCGACCGCAAGACGCCAGCACACATCAAAAAAAGGTTAGACACCTTAGAAGCATACTGGGTTGAATTTCGAAGCAATCATAGTCAACTGTGCCAATATGAAGATCGCAGCAACGAATACTTTACCAAAAATACTTACGAAAAAACGAAGCAATTCTACGGTGAAGTACGCTCATACCTTCAGCAATATCTAAAAGAAAAAATATTAGTGGACAAGCCAGGCACATCCACTGATTCTATTTCTGCTCCATCAACAAGAGACGACGAACGTCCTACAACGCCGAAGGTAATCAATTATCCTCCTTCTACAAAAGAGCCACTACCAGAGCTCTTTGCTGAAGAACAATATCAACGAAGTAGACGCGATCAGGGCTCTCCTAGCAAATTGGAGGAAATGTTACGCAAGCAGAAGAGCAATTTTAAAGCAATTTCCCGCACTTTTACAAACATAAATTTGACAAAATTAACAGAAAAGTGGGAATATCAAGATGTCTTAAGAAACTTAGAAGCTCGTTGGGCAGCTATAGACTCATTGCATTGGGAAATAGACAGCGAGCTCGTTGAAGAAAATGAAGAATATGAAGAAACATTCAACACGTACGAAAATCAGTACAATGACATCAAACGGTCACTAAATAGCAAAATGTGGGCTGTAACGTATAAAGAAAAAACTACACCTATAATGGACATTCCATTTTTTAATGGCGATTATCATAAATGGGTGTCGTTCAAAGATTTATTCACAGAATCTATTCATAATAATAATTCCATGTCTAACGCACAGAAGATGCAATTTTTGAAAAGCAAAATCAAGGGTGATGCTGAAAAACTCATACAACATTTACGAATCACTTCGGACAATTACCTAGTTTGTTGGGATATTCTCAACCACAGGTACAACAACACGAAATTAATATTCAGCTCACATATCAACATAATGATGTCGTTACCGACGATGCAACAACAATCGCCGTCTCACATAAAGAAGATTCATGACACTACCAATGAGTGTCTGAATGCTATTAAGAACCTGGGTGTGGATATATCTACTTGGGATCCACTGATCATACACCTACTAACACAAAAATTAGACGCAGATACGCACAAGGACTATATAGAGTCGCTTGAAAACCCTCGAGACCTCCCTATAATGTCCGAGTTTCTAGAGTTTCTAGAGAACAAGTTCACTTCTTTAGAAGCCTCACGTCGCAAACAAGACCATGTACAGCAGAAGTCAGCAGTACCATCTTTATCCAACAATAAGAAGACTTATTTCAATCAGCAGTATCAGAATAACCCTAAAGGTGACAATCGGATTGCAAAAGCGTTCCACGTGTCAACGAAGATCACATGTCCTCACTGCAACAGCAAAAAACATGGCATTTTTCATTGTAAAAACTTTTTGTCGCTAACAAGCGACATGAAATTGAAAACTGCAAATAAATTGAAACTTTGCACCAATTGTCTTTATGATCATACCGACAATAAATGTTTTTCTACAAAAACGTGTCGAGAATGCTCAGCGTTACACAACACCTTGTTACATGACGCTTTTACAAAGGCACAGCAACCGCCGACTTCGAAAATTAACAACGAGCAAGTTATATCACACAGCACAGCACATGTTTCTAGAAATCAATCAGCTGAAATTTTATTAGCTACAGCGCTGATTGCAGTTAAAGGCGCAGATGGTACACGTTACACCATGAGAGCGCTTATTGATCAAGGCTCTCAGGTTTCTCTCATCACGGAAAATGCTGCTCAAAAGTTAGCTTTACCACGACGCCGCTGTAAAGGTGTAGTTTTTGGCCTCGGAGCAAGAGAAAACAACTGCAAGGGCGTCATGGAGATAACCATGTCCGCATTGCATGGAGATTTCACTTTCACTTCAGATGTATTTATTATGCGAAATCTCATCAACAATTTACCAAACCAAACTTTTGAGAAACCGTCTTGGTCACACATACAAAATATAACTCTAGCTGACCCTGAGTTTTACAACAGTCGTCCTGTAGACCTGCTCCTCGGAGCTGACATCTATTCGCTTATCGTGTTGGGCGGTGTCATCAAAGGCGACAACTTATCACAACCTATAGCTCAGCAGACGCATTTAGGTTGGCTACTTTGTGGAAATGTGAAAACATATCAATGCAACGTAGTTTTGAACAACATGGAAGACATTCACAGATTTTGGTCTATTGAAGATATTGGCGATAATACCCTTAATATGTCATCAGAAGACTACGCATGTGTGCAGCTTTACGAACAGCAAACGACCCGCCAAGAAGATGGTCGCTACGTCATACGACTCCCTATGAAACCTGATGCCAAGGAACAACTTGGAGAATCAAAGCGACGAGCCGTAGCACAATTTCTTCAGTTGGAGAAAAAACTCAAAAGAAATCCAAACATAGCAAAGGATTATAGGGACTTTATGAATGAGTATATCAATCTCGGCCACATGTGTGAGTGTACAAGTAACGAGACACCAAGTTGCTACCTGCCACATCATTGCGTAATTCGTTCTGAGTCCACTACAACGGGATTGCGCGCCGTATTCAATGCGTCATCGCCTACGTCATCTGGCCGCAGCTTGAATGATTTAATGTACTGTGGACCTAACTTACAGTCAGATTTACTATCATTGATTTTAAGGTGGAGGCAGTATAAGATTGCTTTCACAGCTGACATCGAGAAGATGTTTAGACAAATACTCGTTCACGAAAAGGATCAACATCTTCAAAAAATCATTTGGAGAGATTCTACAGATCAACTGTTACGTGAGTACGTACTAACAACTGTAACTTATGGCACTAAGGCAGCACCCTTTCTCGCCATGAGGACATTAAAGCAATTGGCAATAGATGAAGGCTTCAAGTATCCTTCTGCAGCAAAAGCACTAGAGGAAGAGTTTTACATGGATGACCTCCTCAGTGGAAGCCACAGCATTGAGGCTGCTAGGCAATTACAAGCAGATTTGATTAATTTACTCAAATCGGGAGGATTCAATCTCCGAAAATGGTCATCAAACGAAGTTGAATTAGTACAAGGAGTCAGCACAGCAGGCAGCAATCAGCAGCAGCCATTTGATTTCAAACACCAGGACTCCACCAAAGCATTAGGGCTCCGATGGAATCCACAACGTGATCAGTTTTCATTTGAAATAATACTGAAACCATCATCATCAAAGCCAATAAGCAAGAGAATCCTATTATCTGAAATATCCCAGGTTTTCGATCCATTGGGGTGGCTCTCTCCCGTAACTACCACACTGAAACTTCTATTTCAAAAAGTATGGCTACTGGAAGACGTGCAATGGGATGACCAGTTACCAGACAACATGAGCATGGAATGGCATAAAATCAGAAAAGAACTAGAAGATATCAATCAAATAAAAATTCCAAGATGGTTTGGAAGTAGCCGGAACGAAAGCATTGAGTTACATGAGTTTTGTGACGCGTCTACAAAAGCTTATGCTTGTGTAATATACTGCAAAATCAATAAGCAACCATGCAACTCCAATCAACAGCCCTCGATCGTGATAGCAGCGGCAAAAGCTAGACTAGTTCCTGAGATACATGGAAGTTTTCATGTATCTCCTGTTTTCAAAAATATATAATCACGACACCATTTTAAAAAAGGTATACTTTTATTTCAGAGAAAAATTAACAAACTGCAGTCAATGAAAAATATGTAGCCCTGGTGTCATTTATGTAAATATTTACACAATGCATATCACATATTTATAATTGCATTAAAATGTACACGATTAGATTGTGATTTTATCATAATTATGTAACCACTTTTAAAACATTGCATCGTTTTCAAAAATATGTATACACAATATAGTTGCAATATAATGTAAACATACCAGCGCCAGTTGTAAACTTTTTTATGTGTATTTTGTTGGTTCGTAATATTTGCCCTGGGGTAAATAAAAAAGATATTTTCGAAAAAGGTCTTTTTATTTTTATTTATTTATTTTATCTTAGAGGGTACAAACAGCTTATATTACAACATGATTATTTCTTCTTACAGTATCTTCGTCTGATTCTTCTTCCATTTAACATATTTAATAATAAGAATTTGCTTGACATGGTTCTTTTGCCGCGTGTTTATCGCTAGACGAATTGAACATCACTGTGTCTTCACTTCCCTAGCGTGAGCTCGCGAGTGCTCGCGCGAGACCGCGCGTGCTCGTGCGAGCTCGCGATGGCAATTTTTGAAGGAAATAGGTCGGCGAGATTTCAATCGCCTCGCCTCGGTTTGTCTCGCCTCGCCGGTGGAAAAGCACTTTAATACACTTTCTTGTACGGTCTCACTTTGTGTAACTTAGTAAGAATTCGCTAAAGAGAATGAGTTAATTAACATATACTTTCAAATTCTTATTTATTTATTTATTTAATTATTTATTGTACAGGAAAACACAAATCACGTTTGGCAAACGGAAAACACAAACAAAAGGTACTGCTTATTTCTATAAGAAATTTCTTCCTGCACACCAAAATACACGACACAATAATTACAATAATGGGTTTAACGGTAATTCTTATTAACTTTATCACACTCTGCATAAGGGTTAATCCTTTGTTTTAAAATGGTGTTAACGAAGCGTCTTGTTCCTTTAATCCCCCAGTAAAGTATCTTTGTTTTAAGTAGGTATTTCATAAGTATATCTATTAACATGAATTTGTGCATTCTAAAAATATTTTCCTACCAAAGTTGAATGAACTGTTGAATTTTAAAACTTTTCTGCGAATTGCACAAAAAACGGAAACAGTCGAATTTAAAGTGACCTCCTTGCTTATTTTCCGTAAAAGACAGTAACTCATATAGGTACATGCATAAGATTCTTCATGGCGAAATTGACTCTTCTTATCTGTTAAGAGAAATAAATATCTGCATAAGGCGTAATCCCCAAGCACCTAAGAAGACATTTTACTTGCGAATTTCATAAATCAGAAATAGGTATAACATTTCCTTTTATAATTCTTTGATAAGAATAGGCTTTAGAACGAAGATATAGGAAAAACTCTGGTTTAGATATTTTTGACACAAGATTCAGAATATTTAAAGGAGCAGTAACTCGCGTAGTACTTACACAGGTATTCACTCAAATCCATGTCGCTTTTGTATTTACTAAATAAGTATTTTAATTAAGTAGATAAATGATTAGTAAATTATGAACAGTAATCTTTCTTGTTACTTTCCAATGATGTGTCAGAATACGTAAGGTTACAATCTAGTACAGAACTTTGTAATATCATATTTAACTCTTATCAACGTAATTTGATTGTTATCCGTTTTTTTTGTCCATATCGCATCCCTCATGGAAGAATGGCATAAGTGGAGTTATGTCAAAAACATTTATTGCTCCATTAGATACAGAAAAATATAACCCACATCCTCCCCAATTCTTGTAATTCTATCTACATCTACACTATCTATGTAGATAGAGTTACAAGAATTTGAGAGGGTGTGGGTTATATTTTTAAGATATAAACATGTTTGACGTAACTCTACTTATGCCATTCTTCCATGAGGGGTGCGATATCATAAATAAAAGTCGTAATATGTATATAGATTTCAAGATTTTCATGGTTATTCACTAAATGATTATCACTAATTACAGGTTTCTTACCACCATATGATTTCTTTTTATTTTCCCAATGTTTCGGAACGGACACGCTCCAGGCCAGGTAGATGAATACATATATCTGTCTACCTTCTTTCGCTGTCTTCATCCCGAATTATTTGTGGCGTTACCAATGTCGCTCATTTTATTCAGACAAACCACTCACACATGTGAAAGTGAAGTCGAACTGTTTCCGAACGACCGACTTAAAGCTGTCATCAGGCGCTGGCTTGTCAATCTGGGACCATGTAGCTTAGAGGATAGAAAAAAAATCACGGAGCATGTGACCGTTCTAAAATTTTAAAAGAGATCATACTGTGGTAAGAGACCAGTAATCATTTAGTCGTTAGTATGTTTTTATTCAAGAGTAAAGTGAATTAGTAAATTTGTGTTTCACCATTTTTGAAACCCTATATTTGAGCAAGAATCACGTAAATTCTTAACGTCGTTAGTCTTATTAAGTAAGATCACTTAGTTACGTGTTAAAGAGGATGATTATTTAAATATCGATGGTGGAAATTTGAAATGTCGTAAGGGACATTTTTACGTAAAGGAAATTCTCTTAGGACATCTCAAATTTCCATCGTCGATATAATATAATTCGATATAATTTCGTCGATGTCTCGACTTTGAAATGTCGTAAGCGACATTTTGTAGTAAGGAATATTTTCCATTGCGACAAAATATGTCTTTCGACATTTCAAATTTCCACCGTCGATCCAAGTGTAATATGGACGAAGATTGGCGACGCATTGTCATGTGTCGCTTTACTTATCGAAAGGTGTTGAAACTTTTTTTTTTTGGGTTTTGGTTACATTATAATAGGTAACGTCAACCCTGCAAGATTCAGATATGGAATTTCCATTCGGTAAGTGGTACACATGCTACCTGGGAACATTAAAACGTAAGAATGGAGGGCCACATCAAACAATACAACACATGTCGATGGCTTTCTAGAATCGTGGCCATCTCAAAAGCATCTAATACATCACGAAGACGGTTTAAAAAAACGAAGAAAACCGAAACTTGTTGAATCATAGAGTACCCCAATGTTGACATGTGATTATTCTAACCATTGAAAAGTTTGGACTCTTATTCACTATTCAGTCTTAAATCTAACACGTAAGGAGTTTGCTGCGCCGTTGAAGGTAGCTGTAGAACCAGCAGAGTTGCTGTAAGTGGATCCTCCTCCTACAGCAACCTTTAGCGGCTCAGCAAGCTCCTTAAGTCACTCGCTTGAGCAGACATATTAGATTGAAGACTTTTGACTAGTGTTAGTAATTATTTTTAGTTATTTTTTTCTCCGTGGGGGCGTGGCGTCGTGATATCTCTATTGTAATAGTGCTCGCATGAATGACACGTCTTTAAAACGAAGACACTAATAAAAAACCGGTGCGGTAGTGTTATTCAGTGTTTTTCATTTCTTCTGACTTTCCCATTTCTTGGTATTATAAAAAATAGCAGACTTAAAAGTAACTACACTAATATACATTATTCTGTAGCTGACTATTGGCACATATATAGGGCATCCCACGGCTATGCTAGAGAACAAAAAGTGACGAGAACGGACACTCTCCACCCTTCCCTAGTTTTACATACCGCACCATAGCCCGCACATTGACGGTCACATTAACTGAACAGCAGCAAGGCTGTCGGCGAGCCGTTTTCGCTCTAAGACGGCTTTGTTATTTGAATATAGTTTTTGGTTATTCATTATGAAACTTGTACGTTAATATATAACATCATTGTACGTTTACTATCTAAAATATTCGCGAATTGCGTTATGGGCGGCTGTTTATCATCATCTAAACGGGATAAAGAGGGAGTTTCTTTCGTTTTCTGAAAGATGAAACGAAGTAAGTAAAAAAACTTATGTCTAAGACTAATTCAGTTACAGTTTCCTTCATTTATTTAGTGCAGAGTAATATATACGTATTCACAACATAATATAACTTCGTGAGCTAGTAGACAATGGTTCTCGAATTTTCAATATGTATTTCCGATACATATTACGTAGTGATAATTAATAACTGGGTAATGATAAACTTGGACACGCAATTTCAAAGTCCAAAATACATATAACATTTTAAGGGCTTTTAATATAATTTTTAAATTAATCTTCATATTGTTATTCTAGTTAGTAAATTAATGAAAAATATAATATTATATCAATATAAATACCTAATGAACTTATGTAATTATTAGGAATCTATTAATAGAATTATATATAATAGATTCGCGTTAGAATTTTAGTGTCCATGTAACTCGATTTTCACCGGCTTGCCTAAAATTTCAATTTTAATAATAATAAAAATAATAATAATACCGCACACACTCAACATAGCCCCGCACTAGGGAAACCCTGTGTCGCGGGTGCCATGGACACACACATAGACAACCACAAATTACACCCAAACTCACGAGAGAAATAAATGTAGGTCATACAAATATTTCTCCCGGCCCGGGAATCGAACCTGGGACCTCTGCGTGGCAGTCCGGCGTGGTAACCGTTCCGCCACGGAGGCAGTTAATGTATTATCAAATACTCATTTCGTGCTAAATATTATGTGTAGAATAAGTTAACCAGTGAAATGAAGTATATAAGTAACCCTGCGTGCTTATAAGTTGTGTATAAGTGTCGCCAAGGCGCCACTTTTTCTTAAGTTAGGTGTTTTTTGTCTTGCTCCGGTTTTACTAACGACAATTTTCACGTCTCGCCACTGGTACTTTCCCTCCGTGTGGCATAGCCGTGTGACGCCCAGCACACGTAAAGGGTTTAGAAGCAAAGTAATTGGAAAAAGTCTTACTTTCTTCATAGTGCGGATGATGTTGACGTAGCTGAAGGTGATAACGATGAAAGGAACGATCTGGCCCATTGCGAAGAGAAACAGGATGTAGGTCAGAGTGTTGTTCGATTGCTCGTGCCAGTTGACTGAACAGCTGGGGACAATTAGATGGCATTAGTTCATTAACCTTCAAACTCA